AGCCGTGCTCCGCTCCCACTGCGACGCTGCTGAGTCACTGTCCCCCACACCTGTGCTCCAGCAGGGTGGCACAGCCCCCCGGGTCGCAGGCCCCCAGGCGAGCCAGAAACCACAGTGCAGCGTGGCCACCGGCAGCTGCCTGCTGGCTCCAGCTTTGGGACCTGGTCAGTTAGTGGACAAAACAGATGAGATGCTTCCCCCTTAATTAAGAGGCATACCTTCTAGAGAAGAAAGACAGGTGATGACTCATAAAGAATGAGATCATGTCGTTTTGTGGTAAAACTCTAAAGGGGTTTAGAGAAAAATCAGAGCAGATACAAAGAGGAAAGCCGTCCCGAAGTCCTCTCTAACGGGAGCTGTTTGTCTCATGTCTGGTAGCGTCTGAGCTAGTTGTAAGGAATAGGTGGTTATTGTGATCAAAACCAGTATTAATTACAGTCTGTTTGCTTAAACAAATCACTTTTGCATAATGAAAGGATAGACGTCAGCCTCCTCCTGTCTTTATTCCAGGTTTCTCGTTGGGCTTGATATACGTATATACTGGCAGAGGAAATTTCCACTTTGTGAGGAAGCAGTTTGTTTGGAAAGCAGACACATTTACCGCACCCAAACACCACTCCTGAAATGCTTTCTAATGTGTTTGCTTAATAAAATAGAAAAAGAGGTGCTCTTAAAAACATATCCTTCATCGTCCTGTTATCTTGGCTTGTGTAAAGAACTTACGTTAATTCAACTTTATCATTAAAGGAAAGGAAATAGGTTGGAAGTTGAGTAAATGGAAATGGAATCAATAGAATTTTAGTAAAATTAATGGGAAATAATAGATTTGAAAGGCTTTCAAAAAATCCACTGAGGATAATGAAGGTGATACAGGAAGTCTTTCTACTCGTTTTTTTTACATTGGCCTCCTCGTGGTTGCCCTGGAGGTGCTTTTGTATTCGTTTGCAAGCTTTGCTTAGGCTGTGAGAAGGATTCCTGAAAGAACTGGAAAGTGAAAAAGCAGGAAAGTCACAGAACCCTACAACTGTGAGGTCATGTAATCCATCGCTGTCACAGTACCTTCCAGTGTCGGAGAAAATAGGCCTTCTCTTCATTGAGATCTGCAGCAAAGGAAATTTTGGCCTCTTGATAAATATTTCTCAAAAGTTTCCTTTTCTCGAGAGTAGTCTGTTTTCTCTTTGACATCTCTCTGCATCTTCATAATGACAGAGTTGCTGTTTGCTCTTTCCTTAAAACCATTGCCTGTGCCAGTTCTTGCAAATTAACCGACTTTTTCCTGGGAAGTAAGGTGGGGAAAGATTTTTTTCCTGGGGCCTTTTGCTAGGCTCATCCTGGGAAGATTCTGAATTCATAAATACACAATGTTTGGCCTTCTCGGTTTCTTATCAGCCCCCAAGAGTATGTGTGTGGATAACCACAAAGAAATTCTTAATTCTTGGGGTTTTCCATCAGTGCCACTGCAGCCCCCCCTCCCACCCCCCCCCCAACCCCAACGACAGCACTGAAAGGTTACAGTGTGTGTCTGTTGTGTGGTCAGTACATGGCTTTTGAGGGACTTTTCCTTCCGCGCAACCCCCACATTCAGTACTAACCACAGTTTCATAATTTTTTCATTCTTATTTTGTAATGTAGCCCTCAGACCAAAATGGCATAACAATTTTTTTTTCCTGCTTCATTTCACAAAGGATTTGAGGCATTGGTGAAAAGCCTGATTCTAGGACGAAGTTAAAAATGGTTTATAATCACTGTCATTTCATTGTTTGTTTAGAATATTTTAAAGTTTTATGTATTTAAGCAATCTCTACATCCCATCTGGGGCTAGAAGTTACAACCCCAGGTCCAGAGTTGTGTGCTCCCCAACCGAGCCAGCCAGGCGCCCCTGTTCTTTTTATACAGAACTTTGTATGCTGTGAATGCTGTTTATACTTTGCTTTTGTCATGTAACAATTTATCTTGGAGCCGTTTCCAGAGTTACACATAAAGAACTTTCTCAGTTTTATGGCTACGGTTTAGAACTTCCGTAGTTTATTTATCTCATCCCTTATTGACAAGTCCTAAGCTTCCCGTCAGAATAAATCCTGTAGAGAGGAACCTTGTGCTCACATGATTCTCTATTTCCTGTATTCTACAAGTATTTATTGAGCACCTACTCTGTGCCAGGCGGTGTTCTAAATTGTGGAAATAGGGCCGTGAACATGCAGACCCTACCCTTAGAGAGTTTGCATTCAAACTGAGGGTACAGCAAACAAATGAGGAAACAGATAAATGCATGGTGAGGGATGGTGAATGTTTTGAAGAAGATTAAGGATTTCTACGAATCGAGGAGAGGTAGGCACTGGCCTGGCGAGTGGAGGGCTGGTTGGCCCCTGCCTCGCTTACCACCATCCACACAAACCTCCGAGGCCCGCAGGAGAGCAGGATGCAGGAGGCTTATGTTTCAGGAAGGAGCTTCATCTGTGGCTGAGAGTGAGTCCTGTTCATCTTTATTTTCCCCATCTCATACCCACAGCCGGTGTTTTTCAATGTTATTATTACCTGAAAACGGCACCACCCCATCCCAAGGAGTCTTTTTAAAGATATTTGTGGGGGGGGGGGCACCTGGGTGGCTCACAATTTTGGCTCAGGTCATGATCTCACAGTTTGTGGGTTTGAGCCCTGCATTGGGCTCTGCATTGACAGTGCAGAGCCTACTTGGGATTCTCTCTCCCTCTCTCTCTGTCCCTCCCCTACAAGTAGCTAAATAAACACTTAGAAAGAGAGAAAGAGAAAGCAAGGAAGGGAGGGAAGGAGGGAGGAAGTTAGAAAGTTTAAACTAAACTTTGAAGTTTTAATGCCACAGATATACTCTATATCAAGTTTATATACTCTGGCCCTTTGGAAAGCCACAGCCATTGTAATAGCTAAGATGTTTTTCACCCCACTCCCCAGGAACCAATGCCCTTGACCTTACAGAACACAGACTCCGAATCCGTGGCTCTCTCAGCGTTGGCACCTGCCGGCCAGGCTATCTCTCTGTGGGTGGGGGAGCAGGGGGTAGCGAGATTGCACAGATAGAATCGTCTCGGTATTTGGAATCTCTTTGTCTTTGAAAGAAGAGAGAGTTGGTTGTTTTTGATCCAAGCCCTCTGGTGATGTGCCCTGGACAACTTCTCTTGCGTGGAAACTGGAAGCCGGGAGGCAGAGGTGGAATGGTGAGCCACAGGGAGCCCAGGGTGAGAGCGGTAGGCAGGAGTTGGCAGAAGGTGTCCGTCTGTTCCGTGTGGCCTTATTCTTTAAAAAAAAATTTTTTTTTTAATGTTTATTCATTTTTGAGAGAGAGAGACAGAGCGTGAGCGTCAGAGGGGCAGAGAGAGAGGGAGACACAGAATGTGAAGCAGGCTCCAGGCTCTGAGCTGTCAGCACAGAGCCCGACGCAGGGGCTGGAACTCACAAGCCGTGAGATCATGACCAGAGCTGAAGTCGGATGCTCAACCGACTGAGCCACCCAGGCGCCCCACATTGCCTTACTCTTATTTCTTCTCTAACGTCCCTTTGGATTTTGAAAACAGATATGTATTCAGCACTTGCTGAGTGTGTGGGAGCAAGCTAGCACTGTGAGGTGTAT